CCTGCAGCCAGCCACTGGGTAGGTGGAATTTTGCTGTCAATAAGTGAGGGTTGTGTGAGCAGAAGGGGAAATATCTATTTGAAAAAATGCTTAATACACGCTGAACAATTTGCTGAGGAAGCTCAAGGTTTGGAGAGGTGGATGTTGTGAGCTGAGAAGGCTCTCATCATGGGAACTCCCCATCTTGAGGAGAAAATTTCCTGAAGAATTTCAACATATCCTTGCTCACCACATCCTCTTTTCATCTTTTGGGATGTTTAACAACCAACGGGATGTCTCCCTTTTATGATACAGTTTAGTGGTTCTCTCATTCTTACAAGATCTGTTTCTTCAGTCATTTCCTAATGCGTAAATTCCTCATGGTCGCTGTCTAGAGTTGCTAAGAGAAGGAACATGTGGCTGATATGTTAAGTGGTAACAAGAAAGCTAACTCTATCGCAAGTGAAGCCAAGACAAACTATCTTCTTACCCCTTCAGGTATCAGACTGTTTCTTCCCTTGCACCCATGCAGGACAGGTTACAGGCTTCTCTTTTAAGTCTTATTGGACTTGTTTTGCTTTTTCCTTTCCCCTGTATGTTTCCCAAGGGCCTGTGTGGCAAACTGCATTTTTTTTCTGTTGCAAACCTGCCATGAAGTATCTGTAATTAATTTGACATCTTACTTTCAACAAGTAAGGAGAACTTCTGAGACTACTTCTTTCAATAAATACCAGATGCAAATTTAGAAGTTGGAATAAATTTGCTTTTAAAAAAAATCCTGTAGACAATGCGACAATGATTTCTTTCTCTTTGTTGACTTTTTCCTACCTTCTTCTTTGTCCACTTTTTAGGTTTAAGGAATAGTCTGCTATCTATTTAGGTAATAGTCTGTTGTGGTCTGAGTATGGGGCCATGTTTAGCCAAGGCTATTTATCAAACACGTATCCATGTTCATTTTCTGGGTTAAGGAAAGGTGACTAGTCTCCTTGAGAGAAAACCAGTGATTTTTGTCTTAATTGGCAATTTTGATGATGTGTCATTGTACTGAGCCTGTTGGTGCCCTTACATTCCATGGGATTTGTTGGTGTGGCCATTGTTACGAACATTCCTGTCGATAATAATTGTTTGACCCATTTTTGCCAATATCTGTCTGAAGTAGTATAAGGCACACAGCACCCCTTGAAAACTGCAGAGCTTAGCCCAACTACTCTTAGCCCAGGGGCACAGACTCAGGCTAACAAGTGGAGTTGGTACCAGGAATTTAACCTTGTAATGTCATTGGTCAGTGAAGCCGTGGGCTGTGTCAAGTGCCCCAGCCTTTTCTGCTGCATACTTCAGTTTGATGCTTGGAAATAATATTTGTATTCATTAATATTTTCATGCAGACTGGAACTGAAAAGGAAAATACTGTACAGACAGAGTCTCTTTTCAAAAATGTCTCTTTATATCAATGATTTTGGAGTGCTTCAAGCAGATTCTTCTTCTGAAATCTCCATAGGACATTATTCATTTAGGTAGGTAGGTAGGTAGGAGGGAGATAGTTAGATAGAAAGATAGATAGATAGATAGATAGATAGATAGATAGATAGATAGATAGATAAATAGATAGATAGATATGATACTTTTTTCTGATGAGAGGTCTTTTACCACAAGTACCAGTCCTGGGTGTTAACAACCTGGTACTAATGACATATTAGGTAGGCATTGGCCTATAGGTGGATATAAAATCTTCCTAAAGCACAGTAACAGAAATAAGCACTGCAATTGCCTTCTCATGTTGCCCATTAAGCTCCAGTAATACCACTTCACATGAGCAAATAACAAGACATAAACGACCTTCCCAGAGATAAAATTTCTCTCATCATTGTTTTTTAACAGAATCTAGTAAGTCTTCTGTGTAGAGCTACCTCATACCTAAAAGATGGATATTTGACCATATAGTTCTCCCCATATTTGTAAATGTCTTTCAGTTTGCAGCTTATGAAAGTATAGCAATTTTTTCAGCTGCATTATTCATTTTAGGTGTTATAAGCAGCACTGCACCTGTTACCAAGTTGTCTCTTCTTTGTACAGTGGTTGAAATAGTGTTCTTTTGAATGGTGTCTGCATCTTATACGGATAAAATTTTCTGTTGTATCTGCTTTTCAATATATTCCCTGTCTGACATCATTCTTGGAGTTCCTGAAATTTTCTGCCTCACCAGTTCACAGTTTGCAACAATAGAAAGTCTCAAAAATATAGGAATATTTCATATTGGTATCCTGCCAATTACAGCTTTATTTCTTACATTCTATATATTCAAATGCATCCTGAAGTTTTATGTGGGGTACTACTTTGTCTTGTAGTCTCCTAGAAACAGGAAACATGTGCCATGGGGGTACATGATTGCTTCTGCTTGGTAGCACACCTGTAAAGTGTGATTGTTGCAGGGTACACATCAGGTGCTTTGGAACCCATGAGAATAAAGAATTTCAAGAAACTGTAGATACTATTGAACAAAATAAAATGCTATTTAAAAAGCAAAAAAGATTAATTTAAAAGATGTTAATTTCAGCTTTGCTGTTCTGATTTATAATTAGTAAGACTGTCTAAAGAGCTTTCCTTGCCTATAATGAAATAAAATTACACAGTCAACTATAGCATTGTTTTTGTTATTTTTTTAACACTGATACTAATGTCTTTCTCACTTCACTCTAAAACCATAAATAAATTCATCTGGAAAGAAAAATTATATCTAGCCTGCTGGCAACCAAAAAGTGAAATAAGATGTTTGTTTGTTTGACTGAGACACACACACTGGGTTTTCAGCTGCATATGTGCATGACATTAATGTCACAAAAAGATAGGTTTGTTTCTTTCCCTACAAACATTGCAGTTCAGTTTTGGCAAGACGTTTTGGAGTAGAGTTTTCTTTCATAGTTACTTGCAAAGCTACTGTGGGTTTCAGTCCAAATTTCATAGTCATGAAATTTTATCCTCGCATAACAAATTCAGGACTCATTCAGACCTAAAGTCTACTGAACCAACGTTCCTTTTTCTGACAGCAGCTATGAATGTTTCCTTAGAAAAGCCAAACAGGGCAAGAAAGTTGTTTTTCTAGTCATAGCAAATTATATATGATCATAGAATTGAAATAAATGTATGTAAATTATCTTGATCATGATACTTAATCATGCTCAGCTTTTAGCATTTTACTTTGCAATTTGAATATCTTGAAAAGAAGAAAGTTTTTGCAGTTTTTAAACATAGCCTTTACTAAGCTGTTATGTAGGAATCATTTAATTATGAGTTTAATATCTTGTTTTAATGGAAATATTTGAATACTTGTAATAGGCAATACTATGAAGTATTTAAATAGAAATATCAAGATTATACAATGTTATGCATTGGTATATTGCTTTTTTAGGACTGCCTATCAATCATATAAAAATGCATGTTAGCTCTATTTGAAAGTATAAAATGCCAATAAGTAGTTCCCTCCTTGTCTTTTTTATAAAACTTCTAAAGCTATTCACATTGCAGCTTTCTGTTTGTTGTATGATCATACTAAAGCAAACAAAAATGTGAAAATATGTATTCCATTGTCTCCTCCTTGTGATGGGATATATTAGGATAATGTATTTTCAAGGTGTGAGTATAGGTGGAGTAAAAGAAGAATTAGGTAAGCAGACAGCCATTAGTTCCTGGAAAGCATATCTTGGGAGTGAGTCCCTGAATTCAAAGTTAGGGATATATTCTGATTCGGATTGGATCTGAACTATGTCAGTGAGTGTGATAATTTCAATCAAAAGTTGTGATGCAGTTCCAAATGAAGAAAAAACTTATGAAAAAATTTGCACAGATTTCAAAGAAACTGCATTATATCAGCTAAAATTTAATCATATAAATCTTTTGACATGCCAGGTGCCATGTTCATAATGCAGCAGTTTTCAATTTTTAGCACAGACTAGAAAAGTACAGTATTCATTGGAACAGAAGCAATTTTGAAAATGTATGAAAAAAATCCTATTTTTTTACTATATGGATTATTTTTATCCACCTAAAATGAAACTGAAATTCCAGATATATTTTGTTTCATTTTCTCCTAAGTCAATATGAATATATATCTAGCATTATGAGTGTTACAAAAAAAAAGAGCTATATATATTAAAATAGCTTGTTATCATAAGATTCTCGTCTTGGCTACTAAAATAAAAATTTATATTTATTTGAATTGGTGAAATTGTAAAACACACAGAGAGAAAGTATACATATACAGGAGTAATCTTGTATACTATTTCTAATGTACAGAGAAAGAAAAAATATTTTATCTTATGTGTTCAGGAATTACTGTAAAGATGGCATTCTATCCACTACTGTTCAGCATGTTCCAAAAAAAAATTCCCATCAACTGTATAATTATTGTCAACAGATGAAGTGAAGTGCTATTATTATGTTGTCAGGCACCATGACTTACACATTATTGAAACGTCAAATTTAGCATACTGTTAAACATATGATAGGTTTCTCTAGAAAAATATTGATAAAGGTTTTTCTTCCTTACGCACTTAAAACTGAAATGAAAAAATTAAACACTTGAAGTAGACTATCACTTAAAGTTTTTCAGCATATGCTACAAAAATATAGAGATCTGAAGATATAGAATAGAAAGTACTGGTATTTTTGGTTGAAAAATTAGAACAAGTATGCATACACAATAACTATGAAAATATACATATGTGAGTTCTTCATATAGTTTTCTCTTGCCAAAGGAAAAATATGTACAAATTTCTGTTCAGGAAGAATATCACTTCAGAGATAGAAAAGTATACTAAAGTCTGAATACACAACTCACAGGTTCTGCTCTCTGTGATAAAGAATTAATTAAGTTCCTGTAAATCAATATTGAATGATACTTCAGAACTGATAATTCAGATTCTAGACTACTTTTAGGAATTTTTTTAAGTAAATGAGAGCTAGGAAAATGCTCATTCAGATATTTTATTTTCACCTAAATTTATTTTTTCTACACTTTTTTAAAGCACAGAACTGTTACTCTTCGTAGACAACCAGTTGGTGGCTTGGGCTTAAGCATAAAGGTATGGGTAACATCTCTTTTCTTCTTTTAAATTTCAGTTTGACCACTTCAGTCTTGAGTTCTCATGGTTAATATCTCTCTCTTACAGGGGGGTGCTGAGCACAAAGTGCCTGTCGTCATATCAAAAATATTTAAAAACCAAGCAGGTAACTTATGCTATTTATTTATATAGTACCATAGATACTAATAGTTTCAGGAATCTGTTTTTATTTCAGTAACAGTTATGTTATCAAGAAAATATTTAAAGTGACTTGCAAAAACATAAGTATGATAGAGGAAATATATTGATGTACTTAACTTATATAATGCAAAGGATAGAAAAAGTACAAACCAATTTTTTTTTCCCACACAGTAATTCACAACCATATGGTAGGACTAAATTCTGTGATTCTGTGACTAACTGTGCCTAGATGCCCCCTGAGAGCAATTTGTTATGTTTATTATAGTGAAGATAACACTACACCTAAATCAGTACAGTCTGTCTTGGTTAAGTATTACATTGACATTTATCTAGCAAAAGGAACCTTTGGGAGACCTTTTCAGACCTGAAACTGAACTTGGCAAGTTGGAGAACTGGTCTGGAAAACAAAGGGGCTCTTTAGTGAGGAAAAGTTGCATGTGGGTGGACTGTGCCTTGCTAAGGGTCTTGGATGACCAAAAGCAAAGTTGTGTTCTGTTCTCTGATGGGTGTGGACATGGGGATAAGCTTGTTCTTTTGTTTTCCGAGGCATTCTTTTACATATTTTAAGATTTGTTGTCTTCCAAAGCTTCGATGTGTTTCCTCTCTTCCCTAGTATAAATCTACCCATTTCATGTAACCTTTCCTTCAAAAGAAGACAAAGATTGTGATCCTCAGTGCATGTCCTGCTCCTTAAAGGTCTCAAAGCCACTGACATGATCTTTTTCACTCATCAGGCTCTTTTCCTGCTTTGCTGTAATGGAAGTTAAGCACATTTGATTGACACCATGTTTAGACTCATGCTTTACTAGGTCACATACTTGCTGATTTTTCTCCTCTGCATCTTCTTCAGGGGATCCTTTTTTACTTGAAATGAATACCTGATTTCATCTGATACCTAATGAATATTGAATGGATTGTCTATTCCTGTATCCCATTGGAAACACTGCTTCAAGTTTCCTGTGTACAGTACTTACTTTCTTTTTGTAGTATTGTTTCTGCAGTGAGGAAGAGAAGGTGTTTTTATATCAACTGTACTACTATATATGGAATAGTGATACGCTCCTTAAATACACAGTATTTATAACAATACCAAGAAAACGTGCATTCAAATAATAACAATAAATTAATGTAACATTCAGATCGAAGGGAAGTAATTCAGGAAATTAATCACCAACAAGGAAAGCTATGTCCTGCTCTCTTAGGGCATAGTACTCTCAACCAAGGTTAGTAGTGAGTTTGTATATAGAATACTTACATTCGAAGTTTTGTACATTGTGAGTAATTATTCTTTATCTGTATTTATTTGTAGAGAAACAAATGCAACAACAATTTTATGGGGTCAGCTTTTTACTTCAAATTTGAAAATCACTCCTCAGAATGTACTTGTTTTAAGATCTTATAATCTTTTGTCTGAGGAAACTCCAGAATCAGTAGTGATTGTAACCAGGGTTAGTGCTGTATCACACTAAGCCCACATTAAATGTTCCTGGCTGGATCAGTGAATGGAATGAAGACATTGACACACCTGGCAAGGTATGAAGGAAGTAGTCAGACAGGTTCCAGTTAGCTCCTGCATCCCTTCTGGCCTGAGTGAGTCTGTGATTCGGGTACTGCTGCAGGTGCTAAAGATCAGAGATCTGAGATAGAAATGCTTTTTGTAGCACGTGGCTTATAGTACTCCCATTCCAGTTACTGAATTTCTGTGCAAGAGAAAATAGAGTGGAGTTTTTGTTTGATTGTTTCTTCCAGAAGATAAATATTTCTAAAATGTGTCAAAAGATTTTCAGAAGAATTTTGGAAGTGCTCAACCTTCTTATACTGCAAATCTTTTTTGTTTTTATATATATATGATCTCACAAATCTCAGAGAGGTGCTGTTATTCAGTACAGGAGGAAGACCATAACAGAGGCTATTAACAGTGTTACTCTTCTAGTATTATACATAACTGGAAATTAAGTAAGAGAACATGTCTAAATTTATCTCACAGGTGACATTGAGGCAATATTTCTGGTTTTAGATTCTAGTGATTTAATGTAAGAGAAAACAATCTGGCAAGGGAATAAGGGAAAATAAGATGGGTTCTATAAATATGTGCATTCTCTCTCCATTTATATAATATATATGTTGATACAGACACGCATACCAAAATGCAAATGTACTTACATAGGAAAGAATATCTGTAAGAAGTTTAATATAATGAGACCATAATGTGTTATTTAATGTTAATGTAATGAGAATATAATGTGTTAATATAATGTGTTATACATGACAGAGAGGTGAGACCAGTGCCGATTTATCTAGAACTAAGCTTTGGACTGAAAATCTGTATATTCATACTGTAGATAAATCACTAATGGACTTTCATTTCACAGGCTGCTAATAACAGTGAAACTGATTGGCTGGCTTTAAGACTGGCCTTTAGTTAAGCAGCGAGATTCATTGCTGCTTCAAGAAAATAAACTGAATTTTAAAAAATAAAAAAGGCTTTATTGTGCAATAACATTAGAAAATACATAATTTACCCGATAAAAAAAAAGCTATTTCTTACCAGGCATTTTACTCTTTTCTGTACTTGAGTAAAATACCTGAACGTACATGAGTAAAATTCTCCTTAATAACTAAAAAGCTGAATTTCCTAAAATGGTTGATAGTTTTTGATACTTTTCATGGAATTTAATGCCTTTTATATGGCAACACTATAAAATAATGTTTACAACCTTACTTTGTATGGATATAGTGCTAATTTTAGTTCCAAAGGTAGAAGCATAATAAAAAACCCTATTTTTTTCTCTTTTAGGTCTCTATAACCTTTGTGCTATCTATATAAAGTAATTAGTTGTCTATTTTTATACTGTTTAATTTTTTCAAACATTGGATAAGTGATTTTGTTGGCACTGATGTAAGCATCAGCTGACAGCATTTCTGCTTCAGTTTTTGCAATAGGATGAACATTTCAATAGGATTTCATTTCATTATTTCACATAAGCACATCACATAGCAGCAGTGCTTATACATACTATTCTTATAGTTTTGACCTCTCAGCTGTGATCACTGTGTTTATAAACTTCAAATTAAGTTATTCTAGATCTCTCTTCTTTCCTGAACAAGTTTACTGAAGCATACACAGAAACTCAGTTCAAGAGCATAACTTTACATTTTTGAAATACAAGATTATTTGGTCACTCAGTGCTGGAGACTGATGTATTGCAAATCACGGAAAAAAATACACTGAGTTTTTCCTGAGCACGTCCTCCTCAACAGCATTAGAGCAAGTTTTGCTAATTCAAATGACTCATCACCAAGTCTGGCCTTTTAAATATTTTCTATTGATTCTGCCTTCCATTCTAGCAAAGATTACATTTTTTTTTCCTACCTCCAAAACTTTTGCTAAAGTTAATTGCAGAGGGAAGAAATTTCTGTGTCGGAATGAGAAAAAGTAAATGCAAACTTTAAAATATAATGTAAAGTTAAAAACTCAAGAGTAAAATTATATAATTAACCACAGAGTAATTTTTATCCCATAGGAAATAGTTTCACTTCCAAAATCAGTTGTTTTTCCTACCCATTTATTAAATCATCAGTTGACTCAGGGTATTAACAACATTGCTGATAATCTCCCAGATTATTGAAAGAATTATTGATGTTGAAACTTCTAAGTAATGTTTTGTAGGCCTGATTCAGGCTGGTTTGGGTTTCAGGTTTTTTTTAATGTAATTCAATACAGTATTGGTTTTGTTTTTTTCCTTTTGAAACTGGCTTAAGATGGAGTGCATGGTGCTTGTTGTACATTGATGGGTGGTTTGCTGTTAGTTTCTAGGTGTGTTATATTTGTATATATGTGCTAAGATCATATGAACAATCTATTTAAGGCAATTGTGCTGTGGACTTACAGTCAAATAAATGTACAGTCTTATTCCTAGAGCTATGTAATGTAATGTCCAGAACTTGGAAAGGAATCATATCAGTCAGGTTTTCTTGTTGTACAGTGAATTGATTAGATCAACTAAAAAATACTTCAGGGAATCTTCCACATGCTCTATGTGGATAAAGTGTACAAGATTTCATGTGTTTACATTTTTCCCTGTGTATTCCCATTTTTAATTACTGAAAATTCTTTATGAGTTTGTGGAATCTAGATGGTGGAGGTTGTAAAAATGAATGGATTTTGAAATCTAAGTTCATCCTATGTATAAGTGCTTTACCACATATAATATTGGAAATTCTGGTTGTTTAAACATCAAACAATAAAGTACTGTTTTGTTGCAGAATTATCCAGTTGACAATCACATTTTCATCTGGTGCAACTTTTCATTTTGTGAGATCTCTTGCAATAATTTGACTACTGCTGTGTGTTCTGCTCATATGTCGTGTAATATGTGAAGTCAGACAAGCAGCAGTGATGAAGCAGAGCAGTGGGTTCAGCTCATGAGGCATGATGAAAATATGTAAATAAAATTTAATAAAGTGCAATGGAATATGATTCGTTTGCATTGTGCCAGTTTCAAAAAAATCTCCCTTAAGAGCCAAAATTAATTAAAATCTTATTTTGAATGCATTTTCCCACCTTCTGTAGCAAAAGTTGACTCGTAACTCATGTTCTGCTGGGTTGAAAAATCTTCTGTTTTATGCTTAGTCCATTTCTAACTGATGTTGTCCAGGACTGGAATGAACACCAGACATTCAGCAACTGAAACATTCTTGGCTTAAAACCGTGAGCTCTGCAAACACAGACTGTGTTCAGGTATCACATCCTGGTTCCTGAATTCAGGACTGTCTGGAGGACATGGCATCAGTTTGATGAGCTCTTCTAACAGTTTCCCATGCCAAAGATGCTTTGGTGTGAAATTATCTGTGATACCTCCTCCATGGGTATATTTCTGGGGTTTGGTGTTTACTCATCGCCTAAGAGTACAAGCACGGTAATCCAGCCCAGTCTGAACAAGCTGGTGGGCATGATGTGAGATT